GGAGGCTCTGCTCCTCCCCTGACTCTTAGGCTCTGTTTAAGAGCCGGGCTGCCCGACCGCTATTGGCTTCGGGCAGCCCCCATGCCTCCGGACCCTGCGCCACCGGAGCCCGGGAGGGGAAGTGCCCGGCCGGCGGCTGGGGTCCGGAGGCAAGGAGGCTGCTTGAAGCCCATAGCGCTCGGGCAGCTCGGCTCTTAAACAGAGCCGAAGAGTCAGAGGAGGAGCAGAGCCGTCGCGGGAGGGGAAGTGCTTGGCCGGCATTTTCCCGGACATGTTTGGCTTTTTGGCAATTCCCCCCAGGACAGGGGTTTGAGTGCCGAAAAGCTGGACATGTCCGGGAAAAAGAGGACGTATGGTAACCCTAATTAACACACAGTTCCCCTTTCATGCTTGTTATGGTTATTTCCCTAGTAAGTTAAGGGTGTTTGGAGAAATTGTTTCATCTGGAAAGTGGTTAGAAAACCCAAGATATTTGGCTTTCCCACATATAGTAGCTGTGAGATAGATAGAGCCATGCCCTCACTGAAAATCCCCCCTCCCCCACCCCCATCATGGCCACACAGGTCCCATGCCATAAAACAGCCTTCACCAATCATGGCCTCACCCACCACTGACTGTATCAGGTCACATCCCCACACATCAGTCCCTAGAAAGGACCTTACCTCTCCCCTGCCCCCCACCCCCACTCCCTTCACAGTGATTTTGTTATAAACTCCTCCCTATCCTTTTACCTGAGCCACTGCGGAACTCAAAGCACTTGGAAAGGATCCACTTCTCTCTCCTTCGGCTTCGACTTTCACCTTCTGGAAAAGGGGCCAGCAGAATGAGTGGGGTGAATAAATAAGGCTGCCTGTGGGGGATGAGACAGTAGCATGTTGCAAAATGTATACGCCACAAAATATTTCCTCTTCCTGGCGTGCTTTCATATAAATGGAAAGTGAAAGCAAAAACAACTGCCACCTTGGGCTTCTGATTTGGGTCTCCTGTCTTTTCATGGACATCTCTTCCTCATCTTACAACCTCCGGGTGCATGTAGCCAACCTGTTGTAGATACAGGGAGTGTAGCCTTCCTCTACCTAGAGGTCCTTTACAGGCCAGGCATACAGTATTTCTTTCCTGAAGTGGAAAAACCAGAATCCTTGTCAGGCTCGTCTTATTGTTTGTATTATAGTAGCACCTGGAGGCCCCAACTGAGCTCAGAGCCCCATTGTGCTACGTGCTGTACAGAGCCCCTACCACCATTACAATCTAAACAGACAAGACCGGTGTGTGAGGGGAAGTAAATATCTCC